GAGAGAGAGAGAGAGAGAGAGAGAGAGAGAGAGAGAGAGAGTTTTCTGTACTATCCAGAGTTCATATGTTATATTTCAATATAAATTGAATAAGCACACACACAGACACACACAGGATTGTGGAAATGCAGGAAATTAGGTTAGAAGTAATCACTAGAGAATTGGCATACATTGTCATCTATTTTCTTCAACATTTCTTTTTCTTTAACTTGGGAAGTGGCTGATGTTCTGAACTGGTAATGGGTTCTTAGATGTTAATGAAGTGAGGCAATCAAGACCCTTGAGGGATATTCCCATTAAGAAAGCAGATAGACTCTAGAATAGGATTCCCACCTGTTTGGATGGATCATGCTCTCCTGCTCCTAAAGAATCTTCCTTGCAGTCTAGGAGATCCATTTTTAGCGTTTGGAGACTTAAAAGGGCAGTTGTAGCCAGCAGCCCCTTTGTCCAATCTGATATACCAACTGCATCTCTTCTAGTCCTGGTGAGATCAGATTTGGCCTGGGCAACACAGCTCTTAAAGGGAGCCAGTTTTGGGTTGTGGTTAAAGGCACCCAGGGCTAGAAAATGGGCAGACTGTGGAATTTTGGTTCTGATTTAAGTAAATGGGGGCCAATCGCTGTCTCTCAGCCTCAGGAAGAAGGTAGCGACAAACAACTCCTGAAAATGTTGCCAAGACGACTGTAGGGTTTTGTCAAAGCAGTCATCAGGAGTTAAAACAGGCTCCAAGCATATACACCAATGCATGCTTTAGAGTCTATCCCCACAACTATCCCAAGGGTGCTTTTTCAGGAGGCGTGCTGATAGCCAAAATGCAATGCACATTCGCAACCCCTGCACATTCTCTTTGGGAAGACAGACCTACCACAACACAGGTTCATGCAAAATGTTTCTTGAAGATGTTATCATGTATGGGCCTGCTCTTATTTTACAATATTTACTAGGTTTAGTTTAGCTTACTTTATTGTCACTGCACCTCATACAATGAAATTAAATGCCATCTTCAGTGTACATTATAATTATAAAAATAAAACACAAACATGCATCCTTCACATTCTATATAATCGAACTGAAACTCCCCCAATATTACCTTAATATTGCACTATACAGTAGAATTCAATAGAGTTACTGTCTGCCAGATGGTAATAGTTCACTTGTTGCCTTTTCATTTTTATTTGCTTTTCTAATGCCAGGAATCAAGAGACTATGGATTCTGTCTGTTACTTTACCTGGTGCTCTCAGGTATTTTTTCATTTCAAGGAACAATTGTCCCTTGAATATGAAAAATACGAAAAATAAGTGGCCCCAGAACTGGCATCACAGAGAAGGCCTTTGCAAGAGACACCAGACGATATAGTGAAACAGTGAGCGGCAGTTTGAGATCTTAGAAAAGGTATGTAGAAGAAATGAAAAAGCAGCATGAAAATTATGAGTCAACAAAAACCAGACTAATTGGTAGAGAGTAAAATAGGACTGGGCACAGAGCCAGACTTACCACGATCAAATATTGACATTTAATGTCATAAAAAGACCAATAAAGTCTACAGAAAGTCTCAATAATAAGAGGTGGCGGCATGGGGCTTTCTCTAAATGCAAATGGGGTTCTGGGAAGGTGAAAGAGATTTGTGAAAGACCACTGGGAAACTGAACCAATCCAAGCCACAACCTCTCCACTCGAACCGACGTGGGTTGTTTTAACTTAAGCGTGGCCGCGTTGGTGCTCCGAATGATGGATTTGCAGGCAATCTCTCGTGTGCATGCAAGGATAGCCTTGCAGTTCAGCAAACAACCGCGTCAAGGAAGCAATTCGTCAGGACCGATTGGCAAAAACCATTTGAGTTTCCGAAAAGGGGGCGTCTTTAATCTTTCTGAAGCAGCAAAGCTTATGCGCGAAAACCGGAAAGGGAAAGAAAGAAAAACGTTTGCTCCAGCGAACGGGGCTATATAGCCCAGCATGTTTATTAGAGAGTATTGGCTAAGACTGAAGAGCTCACGTTAATAAAGCCTCCGTGACTTGAAAGAAAAGTAGGCCATGAGGAGTTGGTAAAAGAGGTGTTTATCGTTGTTTGCGTGAAAGTAACGTGCAAGTAACAGGATTCAAGAAGTCCCTTTCAAGAAGACCCTTACCATGGTGTAAAGTTTAGTAGGGATCATTGGGTATGTCCAGTTTTAATGAAAAGAAGGAGTGGGGGGGTGACATGATAGCAGTGTTCCAATATCTCAGGGGCTGCCACAGCAAAGAAAGAGTCAAGTTATTCTCCAAAGTACCTGAGGGCAGGACAAGAAGCAATGGGTGGAAACCAATCAAGGAGAGAAGCAACCTAGAACTAAGGAGAATTTTCTAGAGGGGTTAGAACAGTCAATCAACAGAACTGCTTGCCTCCAAAAGTTGTGAATGCTCCAACTTGGGAAGTATGGATGAATGGATGAATGAATGAATGAATTCTTTATTGGTCAAGTGTAATTAGACAGACACACAAGGAATTTTTCTTGGTGCATATGCTTTCAGTGTAAAAAGAAAAAAAGAAAGAAAAGATACATTCATCAAGAATCATCAGGTATAACACTTGATAGTCATAGGGTACAATAAGCAATCAAATCATACTAGGAAACGGTATAAATTGTAAGGATGCAAGCAACAAAGTTAGTCATACAGTCACAAGTGGGAGGGGAGGGGTGATAGGAATGATGAGAGGATTAATAGTAATAGTGATGCAGATTTAGTAAATAGTTGGACAGTGTTGAGGGAATTATTTGTTTAGCAGAGTGATGGTGTTTGGGGGAAAAACTGTCTTTGTGTCTAGTTTATTTATTTATTTTATTTGGTTTGTCTATTGCTTACAAGATAATAGGTATAAACTCAAACAGGTCCTGACAAATTGCTTCCTTCACGCGGTTGTTTGCTGAACTGCAAGGCTTATACCTATAGGTATTCAAAAGAAAATGGATACATATAAGAAAAATAAAAGAAACAATAGGACATGGACGGTAGGCACGTTGATGCGCTTATGCACGCCCCTACAGACCTCTTAGGAAAGGGGTGAGGTCAATTGTAGAAACTCTTAAGGTTGTTCTGGTGTGCTCTATAGCGTCGTTTTGAGGGAAGGAGTTGAGGGAAGGAGTTGAAACAGTTTATGTCCGGGATGTGAGGGGTCTGTAAATATTTTCACAGCCCTCTTTTTGACTGGTGCAGGATACAGGTCCTCGATTCAAGGCAGGTGGGTAGTAATGGTTTTTTCTGAACTCCTAATTACTCTCTGGAGTCTGGGTCTGTCTTGTTGGGTTGCAGAACCAAACCAGACAGTTATAGAGGTGCAGAAGTGATTGGTCAACCATTTGTCTGAAACGGCATAAGATTTCCTGCCTGGGTAGCGGGTTGGACTAGAAGACCTCCAAGATCCCTTCCAACTCTTGTTATCCTGTAGGAGTCACTAAGTAGAGATGGCGACCCTGTGTTGGTTGAGGACGGTTGGGATTACAGTCCAACGAGTTCAAGAAGGCAGCAAGCAGTTAAGAGGCAGGGTGAAAAGTACACGCGCGCAACGAGATAATGGACACCCTGCCTTATCACAAGCACAATGCGATGCCATCCCACGTAGAATATTCGTCGTTTTAAAGATGGCCTCACAAAACCCACGTCTTGTTTTGGTCTCTCGGTCATCTGACACCACCGGCGAACTGCTTTAAATCCGGGAAACTCACATCGGGGAGCAAACGCGTCGATAAAACGACGAGATTCGATCAAATCGAATTAACTCCAATTGCCATGGAAAACGGGAATACGTTTCTCGAAGCAAAAAAAATAAAATAAAACGCAGATCGGACGGACGATCGGGGCCAAAACCCCGGTGTAAATTGATCAGCAGCGCTTCCAGACTCAAACGCGTTTGCGGTTGCTACCAAGACTGCCGTTCCTAACCTGCCTTTCTCTGCAAATCCATTGGACGCACTTCAAAGCTTTGGAAGTTGGGAGAAAAGCTGCTCGGGGAATTACTTTATCTAAAACTCTCATTGGGATGGGGTTTCTCCCCACCCCCACCCCATTTTTTTTGGGGGGGGGGGAAACCTACGTTTCTCTGGTTACCTCGAATTCTTAAAATCAAAACAGAATAATTTATTTTTTTTTTCGACGGGGTAATGAACGGTGCGCGGACGGTTTTCTTTTGCCGAGCGATATTCAGCATTGCCTATATTTGCGTTTTTGGTCTTTCTAATTTAAAGTTTTGGGGGCGCCGTCGGAGGAAACGAACACCGAGTAGAATCGTCGAAGCACAAAATCTGATCGGCTTGGAAGGATAGAAAAAATGCCCTGCACACGATTTCTCGGAAATAATTTGCTTCTAGGCTTCATAGGTAATTTCCACCCGAGGAGTTCCTACCTTGCTTATTCCGAGTTCAGACACACCTCGTAGATGAGACAATATGCCTGCACTTTCGGTTTCCGATAGGCATAAGACATATACCCCCTCCCCCCAATTTAAGAGTCCGAAAAATTGGCTTGTCTTGTACAGTGAGCACCGTACTTAGATGATTACATTTCTTTATTCCTTAGCCTTCAACGAAATATCTAACGTCCCGCCGCCTCCGCAATTCCGTCTTAAGAACAGAAATCTCAGTATTTTTGGGGTGGGGTGGGGGAAGTGGGCGTCGTGGATGTCGAAGGAATGAAATAGTGTGTGGTTTCATTGCTTTTCCAAACTTAGAAGTCCACAAAGTTCTCGTGCAAACAGAAGCGTTTCCCTGAATTCCATTTGTCTCGTCATGCCCTCCCATGTTAAATCTATTTGCTGCAGTTCTGTACAGTTCTAAATACGGCGTGAGATGTGCAGTTAGTTCCAGATTTTAATAATGTGGGTTGTTTTGTCCAAATGCTCGATTATTGAGAAGGGATCCGAATCAATTAAGCAATACAGGGAGAAATAGGCTCACCCAGCCTTGAGAAGAGAATATGTGTGTGTGTGTGTGTGTGTGTATGTATGTGTGTGTGTGTATGTATGTATGTATGTATATATATATAATATATATACATACACACACACACACACACACACTCTCTCTCTCTCTGATATTATCCTTTGAAATATCCTTTGATATTATCCTTTGAAAAGGAAATGCACCATTTTTTTCTCCTGGCCTATGATTATTAGGTTTTTTTAATCCCCTTCACGTTTTTGAACTGCCAATTTTCCTCAGAGAGGAACTCTGGGCAAAATGTCAAAATATACAAAGAGCATATAAAAATTAAAAATTTGGAAGGAGGCAAGGATGATTAAATCTTATTAAAATTGATTCACACACACACACACACACACACTTATAATTTATTATATTTTGAAAAATACATATCACCCCTCTATTTTATTTCCCTTTTACATCTTTTGCTGCATACCCAGACATTCCTCATATAAAATATAACCCAACTTGATCAACTTAGATATGGGAAAAAAAATGAGCTAACCTAATGATGAACCAGTATAGTCTATCTTTGCTGTGAAATAGTTTTAATAATTATTTGGTGAAACGGGTGGGGATAGAAGAGTATTTAATATTTTTTTTCATTCTTGCCCTTCATTTTCTTATTTGAATTCCCAAGAGAGAAAATCTATAGATGTAAGTAACCAACCGTGTCGATGTAAGTTTGTGGACATAGGCTCCTCCCTGGTTGGGGCTGGGATAAAAGTTTCTCCTAAATTTTGAAGCAGCGATTCGGTATGATCAAAAGTCACACAGTCTTCCCCCAAGGCAAGCGGGGGGGGGGGGGGAGAGACAATAAATACCATATATAATAAAAACCGTCAGCCCTAATTTCTGCTTCATCTGAACAGGAGCAGCATAGCATAATACTGTGTTTTCATCCCTCAGCACAGTAGCCATTCCCATGGTTACTGAATGAAGTCTAAATTCCAAAGGGCTCTTTAAGGGGCAGGAATTGCGCGTGTGGGAGAGTGAGTGGCCGGGAGAGATAGGAGAGGGATAAGCCGGGGAGAAAGGGGAATGGCAAAAGGTCGACAGACTTCTCAGGGTCCCCGAGGTTGCAGCTCTTTTTTACTCCGAGCCCGAACCCTGACTAAACTAAGCTTTCGAGTTTAACGCTCGGAGGCGTCTTGTATGCCGATCAAGGGCTGCAATTTTTTTTAAAAGCAACCAAGGTGGGAAAAACAAGACACCAGAAGGGCCTCCCCACCTCCCACAAACACGTCTTCCCGGTAAGACTTTCAAATGCCAAGAAACGTTTGCACGCTGAGCTATCAGCAGCCTCCTCGTCCCTCCTCCCAGTCAACCTCTTTGATCTTTCGTCCACAGAAGGTCCCACCTGAATCGGGCTCCGGCCGAAGACGTTGAGGGCGTTAGGGTCCGCCCCGCTCTCCAGCAGCCTCGCCGCGGTCTCCAGGTCTCCGCGGGCAGCGGCGTTGGCCAGCTGATTCGCCTGACAGCCGTCTCCATTTGGAGCTTCCATGGTTGACCCAAGGCGGGGTGTCTCTAAGGCGAGCGCATCTGCCAGTGGCTGGCTCCGTCCCCTTTTCTCTTGCACACCAGTCCTGCAAAAGATTTCACGATCCAGCCCTCTGGGTTTCCTCTTCGCCCTTCCAACCTCTCGGAGAATCTCCCTCCCTTCTTCGGCTGTTTCTTTCCCCCCTTCCTCCCACCGATCGCCTTCAAGGTATCCGAGCGAGCGAGGATCGACGTTGTTTCCCTTATTCTCAGCCTGCCCGGGTTTAATCCGCTCGCGCCTGGCCAGGCTGGGATTGAATTCTCCGGGGCGCTGCTGTTATTTCAAGGCTTCCAATTAAGCGCCCTCTCTCGGTAGCTACGGGGAAGGGGAAAAAAAAAAAAACAGGCTGCGGAGGGCGCATGCGCATCGCTGATGCCTGCGGAGAAGGCTGGAATGGAATCCCTGCCTGGAATGGAGCGTCCGCCCTTCGGGACGTCTTTATTAGAGGGGCTCTGCCCCACGGAGCGCGGAACGAGGGGCAGGATTCTGGATTGGGGGGATCCCGCTTCCTCTTCTGATTGGACGGTGGTTTGGAGCAAAGTCCCCCTGCGGAGGAGACCTGTTTCTGTTGGTTAATAATGAAGTCAAAACACTTTGGCCCATTTGCTCAGAAGTGAATCTAGGGCAGGGGTCTCCAAGCCTGGCAACTTGAAGACCCAAAGGACTTCAGTCCACAGGTCTTAAAGTTGCCAAGGTTGGAGACCTCTGATCTAGGGCGATGCTTTTCCCCCACTCCCCAAAACTTGTGTGTGGCTGTTAACTGAAACCCATTTGCTTCCCAATGAGAGCACCATGCTCCTTTAGGGTCACAAATGGGACGATGCACAACTCTACCCCTGTAGCCTATGAGCAACTCGTCCCGGGAGGCTTTTTTTTTTTTTGACTTACCTGAGCAACGTTTGTGAGTGATGTAGGTATGTGTAAGCCCTGGGTTCCTTTTGTCTCCCAAAAACAGCTCTGTGCAATTTCATGCCAGACTGCCGAGGGTTAAATTCATGCAGTCTGACTTTAAGCCAAAAAGGAATGGCCAAGAGCTATTTCGTTAGGGGGGGGGGAACAGGTGAGCTAGGCGCACAAAGACCGTTTGGTGCTATTTCGCATAGGTTCAAGTAGCCAGCTGGTCTTTTTAAAACAAAACAAACAAAAAAAAACCCACTAGGCTGTGACCGAGTTCACACAAGCTGTTAGAATAGGCTGTGCTTGGTAAAGAACCCAACCTTTGACTTGATACATTGGGTGAACATGCTCAAAATAGAAGAAGCTTCTTGGATGAGAAATGAAACAAACTAAGTCCAATGGCCTCCTGAAAAAAAAAAAACACCTTTGGGACAACCATGATCTGGATGACTGAGAATCTCTACAGACTTTCAGCTCTACAATTTGGGATGATCACCCTTTGAATGGTGTGGGGTGTAGGAATGGAGTGGGGGTGGGGGAACTGCAGACTACAGGAACCAGGAGCACCACTCAGGTGACCCCGAGGACACAGATAAACCTCCAAGTGCTTCGAGGACCCTCTAAAAGGATGCCAATGACCAGCTGTCTGCAAGGAATATAAATCCTTTCATTCCCCCGCTACTGCCAGAGCTGAAGAAGCTGCTTGGATGAGAAGCGAAACATCTTCAAAAGGAAAAAAAAACAAGAAAGTCCAGTTGCCTCATGAAAAAGCACCTTTGGGACTGTTCAAAATGTTTTGGGTTTTTTTTGGTGGGGGGTGGTTGGTGGGTTGAGGCAGAACACTTAATTCTGTTTTGTGTGCCTGGGTAAATAGCCTGACATATTTATGTTTTGAATCAGAAGGAGTCTTGTAAACATTGATAGCTCCCTCAGAAACGCCTCCCAATTTAACTGGCTGTATCTTCGGGTGCATTCCAGTAGGAACAGCTGAAGTACCACAAAGCTTGTGTTTCAGAGAGCAAATAGGGCAGCCCCACAGAGTTCCCACCATTCCCCACTCCTCAATCCACCCACTGGAGCACGGAGATAGTTTGTTCAAACAGTCATATATCGTCAGAGTCATCCAAATAAGAAAAAGTTAACATTACCTTTGCAACAGCTAGCCAGTCCTATAGAGACATCCTTGGAGTCCTTAGAGTTTGATGGTCCACCGTGGAAACAAAGGTATTAACAAACTTACTTTTCCAGTGACCTCATCATCCCTGCAGGCTGCAATCTGAACATTTGTTTCCAAGGGACCAAACTCACAGTTTGCCTGGCTCCAAGCTCACCAAATTTGGACTTCCTCTTATAGGAAAAATGATCTCTGGGCAAGTCCAGACTTGCTGTGCTGTTGAACTTCACAGTCCACAGAATCTAAAATCTGTTTTGAGCTGTCAGATGACTATAGCTATACAGCATAACCTTTGATTCGGACTCTTTTGGCTGTTGTTTTTAGGAGGTATTTTTACTTATTTTTCATTTTGCCAAAGGCTATGCTTCTTTTAGAGAGAATGTCTTGGGATGGGTGAGTGTGCCAACAGTGGGCAGGGGTGTAACCAGAGCCTAAATGGAATAACTGGAGTTTTTTTTTGCCTCTCTTCCTCTATTTAGCAGAGTGCAGAGGGAAAGATACATTCAACTTGATGCTTTGCTGAGATTCACGAAGCCTGACTATCATCAATACCTCCCTCCCAATAAAATCCTTTAAAATAAAGATTAAGGGCCACTTCACTCCATGTCCCTCTTTTAGATATATCATACACAAGGGGTATCAAACTCACGGCCTATGGGCTGGATGGCTGGCCACGACTACCCCCATTTTAGCGAAGGGGACAAAAAGTCACAATACATTTCATGACGGAAACGTGATGAAGCGAGTTTGACACCCCTACATGTAGGACAATGCTGTCCTACACAGCATTATCTTTTCAGTATACAAGGTAGCCTGATGGGGCCTGATTAGCACATGCTCACTTTTTTCACCCTTTCAGTAGATAATCAAGATAGGTGTGTGTTAGAAAAAAAATACATGATCTGTTCCGGGACAGGTAAATAAGCATGGGATGCCGGCTTGAAGTGGGGGTAGAATTTGACAGCAAGATCCTATTAATCCTCCTGCCCTTGATGCTAATAAAAGACACAGAAAATGAGCCCCATTGCTCCAACAAGTCTTTCATTTCTAGTGGGTTTGTTCAGTTTGAAGGCTGGAAGAGAGCTTTGAATATCTTCTGGTCAGTTTATGGGTCTCTGATAAGTTGGATAAGAAATATTCAGGTGGTTGTGTTGGTCTCATTGCTGGGGTCCTCTACTTCAGACTTCATGTGTAAACAATGGATCCAGGAGTCTTGCTTTGCTATTTTGAGGGTGGCCTGGGTTGTCAGAAGGACCTGGTACGGGTCTCTTCATCTGGCTGCAATGGGAACTCCTGGTGAAAGACTATCCACACCCCCAATCCCATGCTTTGAAGGGATGTAATTTTTACTTTAGTGACAGGGTTTGAGCTGAGCACTCCATAGTCAGGCCAATTGTGCATCCCAAGCAAGTCAACTCCTGTGTAAGATATTGTAACTTTGTAAGTGTTGCTTTGTGTCTCCTGTCAGCTAGACAAGACAGCAGATCGTGGGGGTTCATAATGCAACAGTCATCTTGAGAGGGTGAAGCCAGCAACAATACTAGATGAGGATGGAGCCTCAAGGCAGGGATTTAGAGGCAAGGCCTGCTTTTAGGATTTATGAAAAGAGAGTGGGTGATTTGATGGCAATGGCGTCCATACATATGGCTGACCTTCCCCTGTGAAGGTGAAAAATGTCCATGTACATAGTTCATGAACTAGAATAGACATGGCAACAAGTCAGTCATTGGGGACTGGCTGGAATAGACATGGTAACAGATCAGCCAATGGGACTGTTTGATTAGACATGGCAACAGGTCAGCCAATGGGACTGCTGGATTAGACATGGCAACAGGTCAGCCAATGGGACTGTTTGATTAGACATGGCAACAGGTCAGCCAATGGGACTACTGGATTAGACATGGCAATAGGTTAGTCAATGGGGACTGCCTGGGTTAGACATGGCAACAGGTCAGCCAATGAGACTGTTGGATTAGACATGGCAACAGGTCAGCCAATGGGACTTCTGGATTAGACATGGCAACAGGTCAGCCAATGAGACTGTTGGATTAGATATGGCAATAGGTTAGTCAATGGGGACTGCCTGGATTAGACATGGCAACAGGTCAGCTAATGGGACTGTTTGATTAGACATGGCAACAGGTCAGCCAATGGGACTGTTGGATTAGACATGGCAATAGGTTAGACAATGGGGACTGCCTGGATTAGACATGGCAACAGGTCAGCCAATGGGACTGTTTGATTAGACATGGCAACAGGTCAGCCAATGGGACTGCTGGATTAGACATGGCAACAGGTCAGCCAATGAGACTGTTGGATTAGACATGGCAACAGGTCAGCCAATGAGACTGTTGGATTAGACATGGCAACAGGTCAGCCAATGGAATCTGTTTGGATACTGAAACATAGTATTTGTTTTGTATGGGGCCAAAGGAGACAGTTTTGGAGTCTGGGCATGGCTTTGACTTGCTGAACTGTACATAAGAGTTGGTTTGTCCTCTATAATCCAGGCCTCTGTAAATCTAGGCCTCTTGGCCTCTGTATCTCCCTACTCTGTAATGACTTGCTTCTGTGAATATTGTTTCTGGGTTTATAAATTTGTAGGCTGACTTCTGTTATATGATATTGTATAGAAAGAAGTTTCTTATGTAAATGAATCCTGCAGAATTATTACTTGTGTGGAGGTCTGATATGCTGCAAATACTCTGACAAAAAGACATTAGAAAGCTGGGTCTACGGGGATGCTGAAAAAAGTGGTACAGAGGTCAACGACAGTGAAATAAGTGGTGGAAGAAGGAATCATAGTCATGATTGTGGCTGAGTTTTGCACCGTGTGGGGTGATGTGGGACAGGTGTCAAACTCAAGGCCCATGGGCTGGATCTGGCCCATAGGAAGCTTAAATCTGGCCCACAGGGCTGGTCTGGAAATAGCAAAGGACTGACCTGCGTGTGCCCCCCCCCCCATGCCCTGTTTTCGGCCTGGATGGCTTCCTGCAACACTCTGCCAACCAAAATCCTACCCCCCCACCACATCCCAGCTCCAGGAGGCATCTGTCCTGTCTCCCCCCGTCCCCCGGCCAGCCCACTTAGGAGAACTACAATGCTGATCTCTGAAGTGGGGTGTTGCAAAGGGAGATGCAAAGATTGGGGAGTTGTGCAGGACCTCTTGTGCCAGATAGGCTTTTATCAATCCTTGGATAAGTTCCACTGCCTCGGCAGTCCAGCTTTTACTGGT